AGGAATGGAAAATAAACAAACATAAGCTGTTTTGCTAATATTTTTGTATTCATAACATATAGAGGAGGCTGAAGATTTCAGTTTCTGCTAAATGAAGTTTAGGCTACAGGCTTTATTTTTGAATGGGTTCTTAAGTATGTGGAATAAGTCATGGAAAAACCAGATTTGAATAGGGCATTGAAGGCTTGGCCTGGGGAAATGCGCGCACGCGCACGCGCACACACACACACACACACACACACACACACACACACACACACTGATTCATCTGCCCTGTAAGTAAGTGTCCTTATCCTCAAAGCAGCGGTAAGTGATAGGCAGGTTAGTCTGTTTAATCAGATTCTTCTCTTCCTTGAATAGATCCACAGATCCCCTCTCTGTGGGACTCGGCTCCTCCTCAGTGACTATGGATCTTAAAACTTCTGCAACCATCCTCTTCTTCTTTATAGGTACTCTGTATGCCACTTCATGTCCTTACCATAGTTTTAGCCTGTATTCTACTTCTGAACCCAAGTAATAGTTGAAAATTTTTGATGTTATTCTGACTTCTTAAATTCACCCTATAAAACATAATTATATTGGGTTATGCTCTCACTGAACTGACTGGCTGCTTGCCTCTGTGTCTGTGTTTAGCTTTATTCTTATCGATAGATACCCTTTGCCCTAAAATCCTATGTCTCAACTAACATTCCCTTTGAAAGCTCCCCTCTAATACCCTAGGGTTATCCTAGCAGGTTTCTCAGCCCAGTACTTGGGTTCATAAAGAATCATTTGACTAGTATTTGGTCACCAGCTGTTACCCTCTTCCTTTACCTCCACCTCCCATCCCTAGATTGGTGTCTTGTTATTATCATCCACAATTCACCAAGGACTTAAGGCATTTTGAGTTAAATGTCACCTAGAGGGTTTAACAGTAGGAGAGAGAGGCCAAAGAGAGAAGAAAGAGGTTTCAACAACAGAGTGGTTGAGGCCTCAGAAAAGAAAAACATGAAAGTGGTTTGTGGTACGAACAAGTGAGCAGGAACAGGGGGCTTCTACTCTTGTTATTTATTCCCTGGTCGGGAGCACTTTTCATAAGGTGTGTGTTTGCCATGGAACCTCAGGGCAGTTGCTGCGTTCCTGGCCATCTTTAGAGGAGAAGCTTCATTTCACCCATGCCTCCTCAGTCCTGTGGTCAGTGGGTAGTTCCACCAGACGTGCAGCGTCCTACTCAGTTACCAGATTTTACATCTGGAGTTTTTCAAGTTTATTCATCTAATACCTATTACACATCAAATTATGACACTCTATTTTTTTGTCATAACAGATTAACTCATAGAATAAAAGTGAGGAGTTCTAAAATACGCCTTCTTTGCCTCAGATTATTTTCCCACAGCCACTTCACAACAACCAATGTAACATTACTCTGATACAATATGTAATAGATGATTTCATGGACTCTCCTTCATTTGATTTGTTGACATTTTCCATATCTTAATCTTTTCCTCTAATAAGCAAAATCTGTCTCTTGTTAGCACAGTAACTGAATGGTTAAGAAACAAAACAAAAACAAAACAAAACAAAACACAACTTTTAACTTAAGCATGTTTTTTTTCCATTGGACTTTCATTGCTGATTAAAGCATTTAGCAACATAATTAAAAGTAATTTAAATAGCTAATTAGGTAATGTTACAGTTTCCAGTAATACATTCCTTTCAACAAGGCATCCATCATTTAGGAGTGCAGTTTATCACTAGGTTACTGATACAAATGCAATTAAATGTTAAATGGAAGAACGAATCCACAAATCAACTCTGGCTCTCTGTAAAAATTGCCATATATATATATATATATATATATATAACTTTTGCATAATTCTTACAAGGTCAAATGAGATACGTGGATAATTTTGGCCTCCACATTTTAGTTGACTTTGCAACTGTCTAGTGTCTGATTCTAAATCATATTTTTGACAGTTAAGAACCAGAATAAAGCTATGTCTACGTACACATGTTTTGACAAAAATTGATGAATTTAATTAACCAAATTGTCCACTGAGTCAAACAAATGCTTTGACTGTATGATTTGCTTATTTGTTTTGTTTCCTTGTTAAATTGGCTTATTTTTGTTAACTTAATTTAACTTAATTGTTTAAGTTAAAATTTAGCCAAATCAATTCAGTATTTGGAAGCAGTTTCAATGGTATTTTTAAAATAGGTATACTAAAGTTAAGAAACAAATTGCCTTTTAGCAAATGCTAAAAAATTTACTGGAAATTCTGATTTCAAAAACCTTTTATTAAAAACAAAAAACAAGCATACAAAAATAAAAACACCAAAGAAACAAAAACAACCTCTATGATTCCATTTAAACTGACCAAAGTCATGAAACTGGATTCTCAAATTGGAATATTTTTATTATTCAATTATTCCATTACATAAAATACTAAATACACCATCCTTAAAAATAGAATCTCACTCTTAACAATGACTTCATGTTTTAACAGCAATGTAATTTCAGAGTGATATACAAGGATATTTTATTTTAGGAACAATAGAAATGCATGTATCAGAAATGCCTTGTCTCTCTATTGTGGGAATACCCTGTCAAAATGTTGATTCAAGACCAAATGTTGAAAATAATGTTGGGGCGCCTGGGTGGCTCAGTTGGTTACTTAAGCAACGACTTCAGCTCAGGTCATGATCTCACTGTTAGTGGGTTCAAACCCTGCATCGGGTTCTGTGCTGACAGCTAGTTCAGAGCCTGGAGCCTGCTTCAGATTCTGTGTCTCCCTCTCTCTGACCCTACCCTGCTCTCTCTCTCAGAAATAAATAAACATTAAAAAAAATTTAAAAAATAATGTTACATCCGATTTCTAATTATGTTAACTCTCTGATGAATGCTGTGGATGTGCTAGATTCGTGTGTGTGTGTGTGTGTGTGTGTGTGTGTGAGAGAGAGAGAGAGAGAGAGAACAAAGGAGATGCTAATGACAACCAGAATGGATGGAATTACCTGTGTGTGCTTCTTGAGAACTTTCAGTGACCTGCTCACAAGTTACGCATAGGGTATATGGTGCAGTTATAGCTTTTCTGAAACATTATACAAATGAGGTAAAAACTAATGTCATTCTCAGTTTTGAATTAATAGTTACAGTTTCACAAACCAAATCAATATTTCTTCTAAATTTCAAATAAAAATATTTATAGCAATGAAATTTCTCTCTTGCCCCACCTCTACTCTATTTTCACTCCCTTGATTCCCCTTTCTTTTCCTTTCACACTTCATGCTTAGTAAAAGAGTCATAAGAAAAGTTACATATGTTTATCTAAATACGTATTTATATATGTACACATTAGTGAATTAATCAAATATGAAGGCATATTTATAGCTATCATGTATGTATCTCCATGATTAATTCTATTATATTATTAGATGGTTGGTAAACATTTAATCGAGAATTTCAATTCTATCCTTTGAAAGGAAAACTTGAGTTTTTAGAATTAAACATTTGTCTTTCTTCCAATAATATACTGATTATGTTCACAATCTTGGAGTGGGAAACTTAAACTTGATATGAAAAGATGGGTAACTAACTCTCTGTATAAAAATGAATATATCTGTTCAGCAAACATCTAAAATTAAACAATAAACTAAAAGAATATATTTGACACAAATATAAAGGACCAATTTCTTAAAATATTCTTGCTATAAAAAGAACTTTTTAGCGAACCACATATAAATGTAAGCTAGCAATTCATAAATAAAAGAAATATGAAGGGTTGATAAACATATGAAAATGTTTCATTGTACAAATACTGAAAATATTTTAAAGAGGATATTGTATCATTCTTTGTCTACTGTATTGGCAAAATTTAAGGGAATTGGTAATATGTAATTATCAAATGAAAAGTGCTCCTGGTAGAGGTGTGCATATTTATTAAGATTTTTGGATATCTGGTTGTTGATATTCACCAAACTTGAAATGTATTTTCCCCTTGGTCCACCAATCTCATTCATAAAAATATACCATAAAATTATTTGGATAATTATGTATTTTTTCTAAAATATTATAGCTAAGGTACACAGATATGTTTATGCTTTTTGCAGTATTAGGACAAAAACACTTGCACATTCCCAAATGCCTATCAACATAAGATTAATTATATGTTTATAGGTATAAATAATGTAGCTATTAAAAATAAGAGCTACAGTACAGAGATGAAAAGAGATGTCCATTAAATTAATAAATAAAACAAATCAAGGTATCAAACAGCATGCGTAGTGTGCTACTACCTGAATAAAATATAAAAAAGAGTAGGAGAACACATAGAATGTCTATTTGTTTTTCTGTAGAAAATTCTAGTAGGAGAATCATCACAGTATTCACTGGTTATCTCTTAACAGTGTGGTGGGAGCAGGGGGAAGTATATGGAGGGGGCTGAAGGAAAATTTGTTTTTTCTTCATATGAATCTCTATTTCCTTGCAGAACACTTATAATTAAATCATAAAATGCACTGATTATGTTAATTATTACTGAAAGCTGAAACTTTTAAAGTTGAAATAGAATACTTAAGATGATATAAATCAACAAAAATGCAATTTGGGGGTAATACTTTCTATAAAATAAAACAAAACACATGCATGATATGCCCGAGATTTACCTGAGAATCTTTCTCCAAAAAATGGATAATATTTTTGAGGTGGGGAGGAGGGAAATATTTCTTTATAGTCTTTATTTCATATAACAGCCAAAGTTTTAGAAAATCCAGAGTGTTTTTCTTTCATATATACAAAAACCGTATTAGATAGATTTTTTAAAAAATATTTATTATTCTTAGATTTTTAAAAATCATATAAAGTTTTGAAGTGAGAAATACTTTGTGGTAGTTAAAATAGTTAAATGCAACTGGTTTGTTTTTTGGTGGTAGTTTATCTCAGACACTGGAAAGGCAAACGTGTGTACTTTTCCTTTGTATGTAATACAGAGACTTACATTTCTTCCTCTTCCTTCTGGTAGCGTTCAGCCGTGCCCCAATTCCGATGGCTGTGGTCCGCAGAGAGCTCTCCTGTGAGAGCTACCCCATTGAGCTCCGCTGTCCAGGAACAGATGTTATCATGATAGAAAGTGCCAACTATGGGAGGACTGATGACAAAATTTGTGACTCTGACCCTGCTCAGATGGAGAATATACGATGCTATCTGCCAGATGCCTATAAGATTATGTCTCAAAGGTATGATACTTCTAATAATATTTTTGTGTGTGTGTGCATTTAATGTAAGCTCTCAGCTTGCATCTGTGTGACATATTGACCTTAGGTAAGAACACATATAGTATTGTGTGTTTTAGAATCATTTGAACTACTTTTTCAATATCAAATTGGTTCCCCATATTACTAAAATGCTAGTACTAAAAATTGCAAATGGCATTTGATGTTATTAAATTTATTCGATTAGTTATTAACTTGCATGGTCTATTCTGAGTGCTTTGGAATTGGGCTGATTAGATGAGAAACTAAATTTATTTTTCACAGTTTTCAAAAAGAAACTTTTATGTAATTTTCTCTAGAAGTTACAGAAAAATTATTTTAATGGTAATATTTTCTTTCTGTGTAGGAAAAAGAATAGAAATTAATAAGCAATTTTTATACCATTAATCAAAATGTATTAAAACAGTATTGATTCATGATTTTTTGGCCTTGAAAACAATGCAAAATTATTCCTTTATTATTTGGTTTAGAACATAATTCATTTAAGCTAATCAAAAGATTACCATATTCAAATAATATAAATTAAGGTATCATATGATATCACTAGATAAGGAAAAGAAAGTCTGAAGTTATACAGAGCCTGGTCAATAGGAATCCACATCGTAGAAGTTTTAAATTATAATAAAATTTCTTGATAAATTGGCTAATATTACATATCTCTTAAAAGTTGTTCAGTATTACTATGGTTTCTCAGAAATTAGTGAATTCATTAATTTACTATAAGCATTTATACTTTCTGACTACATGCTCACAATGTAATTTTTAAATAATTAATAAGCTACTTATCTAATGAATTATTTTTTCATTATTTTCCTATTTAGACATTTCTTCCATTATTAAGAGATCTTAAAATATAGGGGAAATCATAGCGTATGTAAAAATAAACAAATTTAAGTACATAAAAAAACAATAGATTTTTTTAACCTTTGGGCTTCTTGATGCTTAAAATTCTGATATCTATGTTTGTGTGTGATTAATAAATTGGTAGAGTCAGTGTCTTATTTTTTATAAATTACTGTTGTATAAATTTTTACTAGAAATCATAATATGCCAGGTTTTGATCAAAGCACCTGTAGTATAGAAGGATAACAGTCTTTCTGGGCTAATCTTTGGGATTTTGTTTATCTTTTTCTAAAATCTACTCACGCTAAGGTGAGTATTAATGAGAAATAAGATTTTAAAACTAGGGATGCCACTTGATATAAATTTGGTTTCATTTAGTTCTTCATGTGTTTCTTCTCATTGTGTATCTCTTCTTCTTATACATTTGACATGCCTCCAACTATAGTTAAATTTTCTGATAATCAGCTTAAAAATGTTGAATTATCATTGTGTGTAGGATTGTAATGGTCTGTCCTGCCTGGTTTTCCATGAGTAGCATGAATGGGCACTATGACTAAATTGTTGTTTTATTTATTTCTGTCAGAACAACAAACCAAAATGGATTCTTTGAATCCATTTGAAGTATGGGTTGAGGAGGAAATTTTGCCTTTCAGCGGTTATTAGCTTTTGATTTTCAATGTAGCAGAAGCATTAACTTCACTAGCTCTTTGATCTCTTTATAATTTTCATTGAAACGGTTTTAATCCTTTTATTGATATTATTAATGGCTCCCAAAATAAGCCCTTAATCTTATAATTATTGCAAAAAATAGTTACAATGGATCCTCTCAAGCTGCTGAATTAGGTGGGATGTGTCTGTAAAGTGACAAATCTGCAGAGTGAAATTGCTTTAAGCACCCTGAGTGAGTCATTTGTGCAAGCCCCCCTGATGATTTCTCAAAGTTAGAATTGTCAGCTGAAATAATTGTGGTTAATTCTGTGTGGAGGCAAGTTCCTTGGTTGTATTTGGACTATTAAATGTACTACATTTACATGTGGCCAAAATAAACGCTTTTCACTCTTGGATAGACGAAGTTAGGTTCAACCTTGCAAGTTCCCAAGAGATGAGATGCCCATGTCTGTTTAAAATGTTTTATAATTAATGAGCTTCCCCTGTCATGTCAGTGACAGCATGTTAAATAATGCTAATAATTTCTAATTATGATATGGATGTATCATATTTATAATGATATGTACAGTTTAAATGCATTTGAAACTAAAATTATGATGGAGAAACTGTTTATAAAAAATAACTGAGATAATGTTTTCTCTCATTTAAATTTCTAGAAAGGCATTATATCAAGTTCTAAACATTTTTAAGCATGTCTCTAGATTGGACGATTATTATTACAAAATACGAAATGTTTTGGTGTATCCTTGCATAACCTTGTTAAAAAGGTTTCGTAATTCACTTCAGCCTCATGAATTAGGTGGATGTTACAGTCAAGGACAGGCATGAAATATTGTTTATGTAGATGTTTGAATACACATTGAACAAATACATAAATAAAATTGTTAGTTTTATTTATGTATTTATAATAATAACTGTTGGTTGTTTTGATGTGCATATTTTTCTCTTGGAAAACTATGCAATCTGTTATCTGCTCTAGGGTAGCCGTATTCCTCACTGCCTTTCAGATTACACCTTGTGTAAATCCAAGCGAATTCTTATCCTATTTTGCCTTCAACCCCTCTGAAAGTTCTGTGCTTTACCTCTTCTTTCATTATCCTGCTAAGAAGGCATCTTAAAATGCCAGAGCACATTTCTTTATTCTCTTAGGAACTTCGAATCTCACTCCCTTGCTATTATCTACATCTTTATTGCAACTAAACATTAATAAACCCATATTATCACACCCTAGACAATTGCCTTGGCTAAATTGTAGCTTCTAGAGAGAAGACTTTCTGTTGATTTAACCTAAAACTAACTTTTGATGTTTAATGATACATAAATGAGTAAGTAAATCTGCTCTCCAATTGTGTGATGCCACTTGAAAGCTTTCTTAATTCTGAATGATTTTTCTTTTTATTTTACATTTACACAGTTCAGTGAGTTTTAAAAAATGGTACATATAGCTTTAGAATCTAAATGTGAAAATGACTGTTGGCAACTGATAACTGCAGGAATTTTACATTTTGAATTCAGCTGAGGTTTCATATTATCTTCAGTTATTAATAGATATATTTCCATTTTTAACTCCACTAACACTTGAAAATCCAAAACATGCAGTTCGCCATGACAGCTTTGGAGTTTGGTGGATCAATAATCTGGGCATGGTCCCTGCCCACAAAACTATAGATTTTTTGGCCGATAAAAGTAAACAGCTAGATTGTTTGCTCCATATTTTATTTTTATATTATTTACATTTATTGAGAAATTCAGAAAAAGGAGGAAAGCTCTTTCAGCTTGATAACATCAAAGAATGTACGTTGGAGAGGGAATGTTCAGCTGATCCTTGAAGGATGGCAGCATTGGTGGAAGTAGAAGATACCAAAGTTATAGTAGATATATAAAATATAAGTGCCTGAGCACCAAAATAGAACATGAGGAAACGGCTTCCCTTCAGTAACACTTTACCCATCCTGTTCTGCCATGGCTTCAAAAGTTTATTGGTGCTTTTTGGGCACTATTAATCTCTCTAAAGCTTCTTCAAATGTGCCAGTGCTTGAGGCCAGCTCCCCACCAACCTCCCCATAAATCTGGTGCACATGCTTTTAAGAAATCTTGATAATTTGGGGGTGCCTGGTTGGCTCAATTGGTTAAGCGATCAACTTCAGCTCAGGTCATGATGTCACAGTTCTTGGGTTCGAGACCCGCATCAGGCTGTGTGCTGACAGCTAGCTCAGAGCCTGGAGCCTGCTTCTGATTCTATGTCTCCCTCTCTCTCTGACTCTCCCCTGCTCATGCTTTCTCTCTCTCTTTCTCTCTCTCAAAAATAAACAAATGAACTTTAAAAACAAAAAGGAAATCTTGATAATTTGATGATAAACTAACTTGATGCTATCTATCCCCTTGTCAATACATAGTTCTATTGGAGTTAATCCTTATAGTTGGACATAAATTCCATCTAAATGTGGGAAGTTTGAATATTGTATGACATGCTCATGCCAGCTCTTGGGACACATATATGTATGTGATATAACAGTCTTACTTTATGTAGAATTGCTTATATTTATCAAATTGAAAAGGCATTTGGAACAGTTATATATGTATATATAGTGTATAATTATTGAGGTATAATATACATACGGTAAAGTGCACATATCATAAATATACAACTTAATGAATTTTCACAAAGCCAGCTGATCTAAACAACAACCTGCTGAAGACATAGAACATTAACAGCACCTCAGATGTGCCCCTTTATGCTCTGTACCAGCCATACTCCACCCCCCCTCCCCAAATTTTGCTGCTATTGAGACTTCTAACACCTTAAACCAGTTTTGCCAATTTTATAATTTAAGTACATGGATTCATATAGTGTATGATTTTTGGTGTCTGGCTTCTTTCATTCCTTGCATTAATTTTTATATATAAACTTTACTGAAGCATTTTTATACATTACATAATTCACTCATTTCAAGTATATAATGGTTTTTTAAATAAATTTACCAACTTACCAAGTGATTTGATATCATGATAAACAGAACGGTTTATATCATATAATACATATATAAACATAAATAACAGATAAATAAGTCATCTAAAACATAAAATTTTAGAATATTTCCATCACATTGAGAGTATGATGACCATGTAATCACCCCCACCTCCCTCCCACCCCATGCAATGACTGAGGTATATTCTGTCTGTATATCTATTCTTTTATGTGTGTGTGTGTGTGTGTATTCTTTAAAAAATTTTTTTAATGTTTATTTTTGAGAGAGAGAGTGCGAGCGAGGGAGGGACTGAGAGAGGGAGACACAAAATCTTAAACAGGTTCCAGGCTGTCAGCACAGAGCCTGACGTGGGGCTTGAACCCACCGACAGTGAGATCATGACCTGAGTTGAAATCACACACTTAACCAACTGAGCCATCCAGGCACTCCTATATATGTCTTTTCTTAATGCATTATGTTTTA